TTTTCTGTCTCTTTAAGATCCTTGAAGGAAATATATTTTTCTGCCCTTTTAATATTTCCTTCTCTGGGGAGTTGACTTCCCACAGCTCTTTTTGTGATTCTTCTCCCTGCTTCTAGCAGGCCGTGTTCAAAACATGGTATTAGGTTCATATCTACAGTAGTCACAGGCTTCCCTCTTGCCGCCTGTACTGCAGAATACAAATCCCTAATGCTTTGGGGAAAATCATTTTTGAGTCTCAGGGTGGGTCCCCATCAACTCTGCTTCTCCTTCAGGTTCAGTTCAAGAGATACAGGAGGGACTCTTGAAAGCTGACTTTGTTCAAAAATTGGATGATGAGAGAGAACAGGTTCACCAAATTTACATCGGAGAAAGGGGAAGCATCGACTGATGTGTCCTGCTTGAGCAGGGGGTTGGAACAGAAGACCTCCAATGTCTCTTTCAGGTTTATTCTGATTGATGGGTGGATGGATGTCCTAACTCTGCTTGAGGAAGTTTTCCCTTGAAAATACCGGTTTTCAGTTTGGACATGTTCATTCTCCCCTAGTTGTCCCTAAGGAAGATCTCCATGAAAATGGGGGGGGGGGGCGCTTGCTGGCAAAGGCTAGGAGAAGGGAGGACATGGGGGACAAATGGGCAATTAACCTGTGTGTGTACATGATGGGAAACAGGGAGGAGGGGAAATGGAAGTACAAAGAAGCTCTGAAACAGTTTGTACCAGCACCTGAAGTCATGTACCCTGAGAAAGAATGTGGATTTCCCCAAACATCTCAGTGTTCTCAAAATACCTAGGTGGATCCTTATTGGTTGAAGATGGACTGGTCAAGGGAGGAGGGCTGGGAGGAGGGAAAACCATTTGTATCTCCTAATCAAGGGGAGAAGCAACCTAGAACTAAGAAAAAATATTCCTGACAGTTGGAACAATTAATCAGGGGAACAACTTGCCTCCAGAAATTGTGACTGCTCTAGAGATCGGACACCCATTTGTCTGAAATGGTATAGGGCAGGGGTAGGCAACCTCAGCTCTTTTATGATTCATGGACTTCAACTCCCAGAATTCCCGAGTCAGTCTACCCCTGGTATAGGGTTTCCTGCCTGATCAGGAGTTGACGTCCGTGAGTCATAAAAGAACCGAGGTTGCCTACCCCTGATATAGGGTTTCCTGCCTGACCAGGGGATTGGATTAGAAGACCTTCAAGGTCCCTTCCAACTCTGTTATTCTATTCTATTCTGTTCGTTTCTTTCCTGTTCTACTCTTAATTCTTATTCTATTCTATTTTCTACTCTTAATTCTTATTCCATTCCATTCCATAAATTTAGTTGTGGTCTGACTCTACTGCAACCAACATTTCTTTAGTAAAAGAACCGATCATTTCAATTAAATCAGTGGTTCTCAACCTTTTTAATGCCGCGACCCCCAACCGGTCATAAGTCGAGGACTACTCAACCGGTCGTAAGTCGAGGACTACTCAACTGGGGCAGCACCGTTTGCAGAATGGGACTTTTGGCAGGCTCAGCAGGGCAGAGACAGCCTGGACAATTCCTATTGGCTTTTGAAAGCCAATAGAATTAGACTCTATTCAAGAGAGTCTATTCTATTGGCTTTCAAAAGCCAATAGAATAAAAGGGAGTAGCACAGCTAAGGAAAAGGGGGAAAAATGGCAGACTGCGTTGTTTGGCGACCCCCGTGAAATGGTCGTTCGACCCCAAATGGGGTCCCGACCCACAGGTTGAGAACCACTGAATTAAATGGAGTTGAGATGCTTTCTTTCCTAAGAGATCGGACTGGGGCAAGTCTGACATCAGCAAAATGAAAGCCATTCCTAAGACTACACAGTGAAACAGACAGGATCAGAACCTGCCTAGGATGAGAAAATGCATGGGAGAACACCTCTCTCTCCTCCTCCTGGAGAGAATGTGGAGGGTTTAGTTCATCTTAACAAACCATCTAGAACAACGTTTCTCAACCTTGACCATTTTAAGGCATGTGGACTTCAACTCCCAGAATTCCACAGCCAGCAATGCTGGCTGTGGAATTCTGGGAGTTGAAGTCCACATGCCTTAAAATCGTCAAGGTTGAGAAACGCTGATCTAGAAGTAAAAATGCAGTTAACCATACACAATGAATAGCATTTCAACTTAGAAATAGATCAGCTGCTCACTTCCACCACCCTTTCAGTCCAGAGGAAATAAAATCCCTTAAAAATCAATAAAGTTCAGTTGCCTTTTGAAAAAGCACCTTTGGGACAACTATGACTTGGATGACTGAGAATCTCCATGGAGATTTACAGTATCTCTAGTTCTTCCTGCATTTGCAGGTATTGCTAAAAAAGGGAAAAAGTGGGATGGATTAGGGTTGGAAGATCCCATCTGCTGAGGACCTGGCCAATCAAACACCTTTGCTAGAAGTTATATCCTTGTGAGAAACCCCGTGGACCCATCATTACAGACCAAAAAACAGCAAAATGAAAGCAGCTTCTAAAAAGCTCTCTATAAAGTGAGATAGACAGAATGAGAAACTGGCTAGGATGGAAAACGTCATGGAGACAATGTGGAGGCCATTTTCTCAGACTAAGTAGGAGTAGAAAAGCTGATGAAAACCTCTTGCCTCACCTTTCTGTGGCTGATTCTGGTTTCAGTCCCAAAGGTTATTCTTCATTTTAATCAGAATAGAGCTGGAAGAGACTTTGGGGGCCTTCTAGTCCAACCCCCTGCTCAAGCAGGAGACCCTATATACCATTTCAGACAAGTGGCTGTCCAGTCTCTTCTTAAAAACCCCCAGTGATGGAGCACCCACAACCTCTGGAGGCAAGTTGTTGCACTGGTTAATTGGCCAGTTTTGCTCACCATATTACAAAAACGATGTTGAGATTTTGGAAAAAGTGCAAAGAACAATTAAGATGATTACAGGCCTGGAGACTAAAACGCATGAAGAACAGTTGCAGGATTTGGGTTTGGCTAGTCTAGAGAAAAGAAGGACTGGGGGGGGGGACACGATAGCAGTATTCCAGTGTTTGAGAGGTGGCCATAAAGAAGAGGGGGTCAATTTATTTTCCAAAGCACCAGAAAGCAACACAAGTTTGCAATAGTGAGGAATATCTGGAATTCTGGTTTGTAGAATGAGGATGAAAGTTCGCCCTCCAAGCTTGTGGGTTGGTTTCTGAATGTTTCATTACAAGGCTAGGTAACATATTCAGTGGAATTTAGGGGATGTCAGTATCTGCGCTCTTCTGTTTATAAAGTGTGGGTACCGTATTTTCCGGCGTATAAGACGACTTTCTAAAGCGCAGAAATTGGCGCTGAAGTCGGGGGTCATCTTATACTCCGAGTCGTCTTATACGCTGGAAATTACGGTAGTTTCCGGCGGATAAGACTTTCTAGGCATTGAAATCGGCGCTGAAGTCGGGGGTCGCCTTATACGCCGGGTCGCCTTATACGCCGGTAAATACGGTATGTCAAGTGAGGATCTGGTGATGGGTCAGGTGTGAGTCATCAGAGAGGCTTGTGAGTCTTGTGATGGGGAGGTTACTTCAGATGAGGGTCATTGGAGGGTGAAAGATGGGTGTCAAACTGCCGGCCCACGGGCCGTTTGCACCATGCGGAGGCTGCGCCCACCTGAGCTCCGGCAATGCAAAAAAAGTCATGATATGTCACGACATGTCCCGTCGCGCGGCGAGTTTGGCACCCGTGGTATAAGACATCAGCGGGTCAGGTGTGAGTGTGGAAGGGTATAACAATCTTGACAGTTGTTTGTTTTCAAGATCCAATCTCCCTCTCAATTGCTAGAGAGTTATGCAGAAATGGAGCACAGCCACGTGTGCTCGCTCACACCCCGGTTGAATGAGTAAGGATGTGTGTGCACTCGTCCATGGCTCAGTTGCAAAACCCTCAGGCCCCACAGGTTGGGGATCCCTGCCTTAAATGTTAAGTATCAGCAGAAAAGTCAGAAACAGAGTTGTGGCAGTCCCCAAAGTTTGGAGTTCAGATCAACTATTTGCCTATGTTTAAGAGCATTCATTTTTTAAGTTTCATCTTCCTATGGGATAGAAAATGAAGAATTGTGCATAAAAATCGCTTCTGCGCTTGTGATGCGTTGTTTCTCCCCAATATGTATTCTTCCATAGGAATTAAGGTTGCTTCGGTTCTGAATCGCTTCCAGTATGTCATGAAGGATATAATTTCCCTTCTATGTGGATCCTTTAATGAGATACTTTTCACATCAAAGCTCCATTAAGACCCCCTTCATTTACATGTCTTTTTATGGAAAGTAAGCCCCAAAGCTGCTTGTTCAGGAGACAACTGCACTTTTTTGTGTCTCTTTGAAGACATTTCACTTCTCACACAAGAAGCTTCCTCAGCTCTGACTGGGTGATGGGGAATCAAGAAGGATTTATATTCCTTGCAGACAGCTGGTCATTTGCATTCTTTTAGAGAGTCCTTGAGGCCATTTGGAGGTTTATCTGCGTCCTCAGGATGGCCTGAGTGGTGCAAATGGGTGTGGAGTCTTCTTGGCTGTAAGATGTTTTCTGTCCTTCGCTGTTGAAGACAAGCACAGGTCCAATGGAAGGGTGTTCATCCCAAAGTGCATAGCTAAATGTCTTCAAAGAAAAGAAAATGTCTTCAAAGGCATTTGTAAAAGAAGGCAAATGACCAGCTTTCTGCAAGGAGTATAAATCCTTCCATTTCCCACCATCCAGTCAGAGCTGAAGAAGCTTCTTGAATGAGAAGCGAAACGTCTTCGAAGAACAACAAGAAAGTCCAGTTGCCTCCTGAAAAAGCACCTTTGGGACAACCATGATCTGGATAACTGAGAATCTCCATAGATGTATGGAAAGTAAGGTTTCTGGTGCTTCAGAAACACTTCCCACATTCAGCGTATTTCTATGGTTTCTTCCAGCTAAATCAATTTATGGGAATAAGCAAACAAGAGGCACTGAAGCACTTTATTACCTTGAGATATTCATAGTAGTTTCTCCAATGAGCAAATCTTTTAACAAGAAAAATAAAGTTTTGTTTTATTTTATTTTTAAAAAAGCTCTTTCCACGCTTGATACATTTAATGGCGTCTTCGGTGAATGAATCTTTCTACCGATTTTACGTGACTGATTCTAACTAATTATTTTTCTACGTTCAACTCTTTTATCTGGTTTCTCACCAGTATGTGTCCTCCTATGGTAATTAAAAGCACCACTACGACTGTAGCATTTTCCACACTCCATACACTTATATGGTTTCTCTCCTGAGTGAATTCTTCTATGGATATGAAGGGAGGAATTTTGACTAAAGCATTTTCCACACTCCCCACATTGGTATGGCTTTTCACCTGTGTGGGTCCGCTTGTGGGAACCACAGTCACGGGAGGTCCTAAAGCCCCTTCCACACACCACACACTTATAGGGTTTTTCCCCAGTGTGGATCCTTTCATGGGAAACAAGTTCTTGGGGATCACTGAAGCTCTTTCCACACGCTGTGCATTTGTATGGTTTCTCCCCAGTGTGGATTCTGTAATGTATTATTAAAGTTCTTTTTAGACCGAAGCTTTTTCCACATTCCTTGCATTCGTATGGTTTCTCTCCGGTGTGGGTCATTTTGTGGCAAACAAGGGCCCCCGAGCCAGTGAAGCATTTGTCACATTCGGTGCACTTATAAGGCTTTTCCCCTGTGTGGATCCTTTTATGTTTATTAAGGTTACTTGTTTGATTAAAGCACTTTCCACATTCGGAACATTGATATGGTTTCTCTCCAGTGTGGATATTGTTATGGGAAGTTAGGTGGCTGGATTTGCGGAAGCTCTTTCCACACTCCAGGCATTTGTACGGTTTCTCCCCTGTGTGGATCCGTTCGTGGGCATAAAAGCCTCCGGAACTGGCAAAGCGCTTTCCACATTGCAGGCATTGAAAGGGCTTTTCCCCCGTGTGGCTTCTGCGATGGGCAGTAAGTTTTTCTGAGGCACGGAAGCTCTTTCCACACTCCATGCATTGAAATGGTTTTTCCCCTGTGTGGATCCTCTCGTGTGACTGAAGATGCACTTTTTGACTAAAGCTGTTTCCACAGTGCAGACATTTATAAGGTTTCTCCCCTTTATGGATCCTGTTATGTAAGGTTAGAGTACCGCTTCTGGCAAAGCTTTTCCCACATTCCAGGCATTCATAGGGTTTCTCCCCCGTGTGAATCGTCTTATGAGAATTAAGGGCACCACGGGCCGTGAAGCATTTTCCACACTCTGTGCATTTATACGGCTTCTCTCCGGTATGGATCCTCTTATGTAAATTGAAATTGCCATTTTGGGTGAAGCTCTTTCCACACACTGTGCAATGATATGGTTTTTCCCCAGAATGGATCCTATTATGATAAGTGAGGTGAGTTGCAGAACGGAAGCTCTTCCCACATTCCAGGCATTTACATGAATCATTCCCAGTGGGTTTTTTTTTCCAGGAATTCTGTTCCTGGCTCTGGGTAAGCTTCATTCTACCCTCCCTGAATTGATACTTCTCCTTGCTGTGGATGCATTGATGGGAAGTTAGAGAGGTGCTCCTTCCGAAGCTCTTTCCGCAGGTGATGCATTGATGCCGCTTCCTCCCTTTGTGGATCCTCTGATGGGAATTCAGGTGACTTTTCTGACTGATGTTTTCTCCAAATTCCAGGCATTTGTATGGAGCCCCTGTTTTGGGAATGTTTTTATGGGATGTGAAGGAATGGCTTGTACCAAAGTTTTCCACATACTCCGTGCATTTGTACAGTTTCTCTCCCTCTTGTATTTTCTGATGAAAAGTAAGAGGAAGGGTCCTTCTCGAGCATTCCCCGCTTTCACTTTGTTTCTCTACACAATCACATAATCCCAATTCATCTCTGGGTATTTTCCCGCACCCTGGACATGCTCCTTTTTCTTGGGGATCATCACTGTGCAAGAAAGAGCCGATATCTGCACACTGGAAACTAGAGTATTTCTTCAGCTCCTCCTTTCCCCCAAGCCTTTCCTTTTCACTCATCTTTTCCGCATCTTCCTTTTTGACTGTTAGAAAAGGTGTTGCCACTGCTTGGCTAGAACCCTCTATCTTCACATCACCACCTATTTGGGGGAGAGAAAAAAAAGGATACATGACACAAATGGTGGTGTGAAAGGAATTAAGCATCATTTGTTGCATCCCTTATTTGAACATTCCTGAAACTCCCACCACCATTTCTATTTTTCTCTTAGCTCTGTTGAAAGAAAAGTCTTTATCCTGGTTCATCCAAGTTAGGGATAAATAAAGAATATGGCAATTGCTTTAGAAAGAAGGTAGCAGTTTATTGAAAAGCCAGAAAGATGGTTCTTGCAGGAAAGACCAGAGAAAAGAAGGGCCTGAGCACATGGGTAGTACCGTATATCCCGGTGTACAAGACAACCCCTGTCTTTGGCGCCGAGTCGCATTCCTAGAACATCATCTTATACGCTGGAAACTACCAGTATTTCCGGTGTATAAGACGACTTGGCGTATAAGACGACCCCCGTCTTTGGCGCCGATTTTAATGCTTGCGGAAGTTGCCTTATACGCCGGCATATACGGTAGGTTTTTGTACCCTATCTAGCCTTTTGTTTGAAGTGGTTCCTGTTCCTGTTTCAGGCTTTGTATTTCCTGTGTCACGTAATCTGACCTGGGTGTGCCTTTCTGGTATTTGTGAGTTAATCCTACCATGTCCTCTCACAGGTGAGGTATGCAGATTTTAGGTCTTTGTCTTCTTGAGCTTCTGGCTCAAACTTTCCTGATGGTTTACACCTGCATTTGTACAGAGCTGGCTTCTGCTTGGGGGAGGGAGACCTGGGGCTATCAAGAAAAACTGGGCATGCTTTTCTGTCTCTTTAAGATCCTTGAAGGAAATATATTTTTCTGCCCTTTTAATATTTCCTTCTCTGGGGAGTTGACTTCCCACAGCTCTTTTTGTGATTCTTCTCCCTGCTTCTAGCAGGCCGTGTTCAAAACATGGTATTATGTTCATATCTTCAGTAGTCGATATAATAATCTGCCACAGGCTTCCCTCTTGCCGCCTGTACTGCAGAATACAAATCCCTAATGCTTTGGGGAAAATCATTTTTGAGTCTCAGGGTGGGTCCTCATCAACTCTGCTTCTCCTTCAGGTTCAGTTCAAAGGATACAGGAGGGACTTTTGAAAGCTGACTTTGTTCAAAAATTGGATGATGAGAGAGAACAGGTTCACCAAATTTACATTGGAGAAAGGGGAAGCATCGACTGATGTCTCCTGCTTGAGCAGGGGGTTGGAACAGAAGACCTCCAAGGTCCCTTTCAGGTTTATTCTGATTGATGGGTGGATGGATGTCCTAACTCTGCTTGAGGAAGTTTTCCCTTGAAAATACCGGTTTTCAGTTTGGACATGTTCATTCTCCCCTAGTTGTCCCTAAGGAAGATCTCCATGAAAATGGGGGGGGGGCGCTTGCTGGCATCCTGCCACCAAAGGCTAGGAGAAGGGAGGACATGGGGGACAAATGGGCAATTAACCTGTGTGTGTACATGATGGGAAACAGGGAGGAGGGGAAATGGAAGTACAAAGAAGCTCTGAAACAGTTTGTACCAGCACCTGAAGCCATGTACCCTGAGAAAGAATGTGGATTTCCCCAAACATCTCAGTGTTCTCAAAATACCTAGGTGGATCCTTATTGCTTGAAGATGGACTGGTCATGGGAGGAGGGCTGGGAGGAGGGAAAACCATTTGTATCTCCTAATCAAGGGGAGAAGCAACCTAGAACTAAGAAAAAATATTCCTGACAGTTGGAACAATTAATCAGTGGGAAAACTTGCCTCCAGAAATTGTGACTGCTCTAGAGATCGGACAACCATTTGTCTGAAATGGTATAGGGCAGGGGTAGGCAACCTAGGAGCTGAGGTGGCGCAGCATTTAGAGTGCAGTACTGCAGGCCACTTTAGCTGACTGTGTTCAGCAGATCAGCGGTTCAAATCTCACCGGCTCAAGGTTGACTCAGCCTTCCATCCTTCCGAGGTAGGTAAAATGAGGACCCAGATTGTTGGGGGCAATGTAAATATATATATATATATACATACATTGCTTATTGGTGTACACCCCTTAGAGAGTGCTTGCACTTAAAAGCAGTATATAAGTCTCATAAATAAATAATAAATAAATAAACCTCAGCTCTTTTATGATTCATGGACTTCAACTCCCAGAATTCCCGTATGAGTCATAAAAGAGCCGAGGTTGCCTACCCCTGGTATAGGGTTTCCTGCCTGATCAGGGGGTTGGATTAGAAGACCTTCAAGGTCCCTTCCAACTCTGTTATTCTATTCTATTCTGTTCGTTTCTGTCCTGTTCTACTCTTAATTCTTATTCTATTCTATTTTCTACTCTTAATACTTATTCCATTCCATTCCATAAATTTAGTTGTAGTCTGACTCTACTGCAACCAACATTTCTTTAGTAAAAGAACCGATCATTTCAATTAAATGGAGTTGAGATGCTTTCTTTCCTAAGAGATCGGACTGGGGCAAGTCTGACATTAGCAAAATGAAAGCCATTCCTAAGACTACAAAGTGAAACAGACAGGATGAGAAACTGCATGGGAAAACACCTCTCTCTCCTCCTCCTGGAGACAGTGTGGAGGGTTTAGTTCATCTTAACAAACCATCTAGAAGTAAAAATGCAGTTAACCATACACAATGAATAGCATTTCAACTTAGAAATAGATCAGCTGCTCACTTCCACCACCCTTTCAGTCCAGAGGAAATGAAATCCCTTAAAAACCAATAAAGTTCAGTTGACTTTTGAAAAAGCACCTTTGGGACAACTATGACTTGGATGACTGAGAATCTCCATAGAGATTTACAGTATCTCTAGTTGTTCTTGCATTTTCAGGTAGCACTAAAAAAGAGAAAAAATGGGATGGATTAGGGTTTGAAGATCCCATCTGCTGAGGACCTGGCCAATCAGACAAACAACTTTGCTAGAAGTTACCGTACATCCTTGCGATCAAGCTGTGGACCCATCATTATAGACCAAAAAACAGCAAAATGAAAGCAGCTTCTAAAAAGCTCTCTATAAAGTGGGATAGACAGAATCAGAAACTGGCTAGGATGGAAAAGTCATGGAGACAATGTGGAGGTCATTTTCTCAGACTAAGTAGGAGTAGAAACGCAGATAAGGACACTGCTGTTTACTGCATACAGGAAGAAACTAGGAGTTCATCTGAGAAACAGATCAGCTGCTCACGTCCACTACACTTTCAATCCAGAGGAAAGAGAATCTGTCAGGAAATTGCGCAGCAGGTGTCTAAATGAGGGCAGAGACGCTGACACGAACTTGTAGTTTTTGTTTAAATTAATATATTTTATATCAATATTTACAGTAAACAAGATAGTCAGGCTAACAGGGTCATCCTGAGGTAAAATTACAGAGCATACAGAGGAAAAAAGGCGGGAAAGAAGGAAAGTCCTCCTTTACACTCACAGTAACCAATCACAGCATAGAATGCCTCAGACAAGAAACAGCTCTCTCCAACCAATCAGCTATAACTGTAACTTCTGACTCATTTTACAACCCCACTGTTCCAGCTACTAAAGCAATAGGACACAGTCAAACTAGAGTCTTGGACTTTAAGAAAGCTAATTTCAATAAACTTAGAGAGAGCTTGGGAAGGATTCCATGGATGAGAATCCTCAAGGGGAAAACAACTTAAGAAGCTTGGGAAATTTTGAAAAGAGAGATAATAAAAGCCCTTCTTTTTCTTGTGCCATATTCGTTATCAGACGTTGGCGATCATGTTGGCAATCCTGTTCTTATCAGCAGCCGCATGAAAAAGTGCTGCTGAGTTTTGTCCAAATTAGTCCTTTAGATTTTGAAGCCACAATGTTCTTCTTCTGCCTGAACCTTGTTTGCCTTCAATCTTTCCCTGGAGGATTAAATGGAATATACCGTATTTTTCTGAGTGTCGCATCACATGTCCAAAATATTCTAATTTTCGTTTTTTAATTGTTTTGAGGATTTCCCTTGGCTTTCCCAGCTGGCTTATCACCTCATTTCTGATCTTGTCAACCCAGCTTATGCGTAAATCCACATTTCAAATGCTTCTACTCTCTTCAGGTGGCCTTCTGTCAGAGACCAGCTCTCTACTCCATAGAGCAAGATAGAAAAAATATAGCATATGAGAAGCCTGATTTTCAATCTTAGGCTTATGTCATGACTGCAGAAGACCTTTTTCATTTTGAAGAATGCCATTCGAGCTTTTTCTATCCCTGTCTTTACTTCAACGGTCATGTCCCAGCTTTCATGTAAAATGGAACCAAGGTGTGTGATCCTTTCAACCTAAAAGCCCAGTCTAGCACAATACCAACAAAGAAGAAAAATAACAGCTCTCAACAGAAACCAGCATGGCTGTATAAAGAACTCTGATAAATTGAA